GAATGGCTCTGCACAGCTCGGATACAGACCACTGGCTCAGAACAAAGTTAGCTATTTAGGGCTCTGGACACCTCCTACATTAGGTCCCAAGCTTTCCTAGTGTCAAGGAAAGGAAAAATTATGGGATAAAAAGGGGGCTGACACCAATACCAGCCTGTATTTTCCAATACTGCTTACGCTTCCGGTGTTGCAAAACACTTGCCCGGTCCAACCTTGTGGTAGCTGGGAGGAGAGATATGTTTTTCTGCAGCACAGCAATGTAGGCGTGCTCTGTTTGCGCGAAGGTTGGTGATGATGCATGTTCCTTCCGGAAGTTTTTAGATCCTTGATAGTTAAAGATAAAGAACAGATTCTTGGCTCTGTTTTGTCTTGGAAATATGCCATAAAAATAGATTTGGGCATGCTATCAACTTCTGCTTCCTAATTATTGGAAACAGAATAACTTAAAGCAGCTTGGAGACTATTTGAAATTACGAAGTTAGTACAAAAGAAGAAGAGAGCCACGAGTTTCGTAGAGAGTCCGTGTAGATAGATTTGCTGATAAGTCAGTGAGCAATTGTTTATGACCCCAGTGGCAACTCCAACCACAGTCAGCTTTGGTTTTGGAAGAATAGCTCAAATAAGTGTTGGGAATGCACAAAGATTTTTATTTTTGCTTCTGTCCCGGGAGCATGCCAAATGTAACTGTTAGAGCCAGGGGTTACACAGAATACCTTGACTGCATTAAAGTCTCAGCAAAATCACTTTCCAAAGATTTTGTTTAACTTCTATATAACAGATACACATTTGAGAACTGGAGCCTGCTGTAGGAAAAATCAGTAGTTTTCACTGAGGGAAGAGAGTGGGGGAACTGCAGATAAATAATTTTGCTATAAAATTATCCGGGAGGAAATGCAAAAGAAGGGAGTGAGGTGATGCCCCTGCAAGAATGCTAACTGGGAAAATAGACTTGGTCCCAGGCGATGTGATCTTACAGGTGGGTTGGTAACTGGTATGACACAACTGTGAGCTGAAAAAAGTTAAAACCAGAGCTCAGATCTACCAGAAATACCTTCAGGATGCGCCTTCTCAGGCATTGAGCCACTATAATCATTCATTCACTTCTGGCATGCCAAAGATAAAGACTCTAACCTAAATTAAATGTAAAGAGAGAAGTCAGAAAACCTTATCAAAATGCAACTATGTAGAAAAGAATTAGCTTTTCTTGGGGAAACACAAGCCTGAAGAGAGAAACAAAAACTGATTAAAAAATCATGTGGGAACATGTGAAATGCAGATTATCTAGTGAAGGAAAAAAAAAACCTGATGTATTTTTCCTGGAGAAAATTATGGAGTTTTCTGTGGAGTTTCTATAAGGAAAGATGCTGGCAAGTGACTGGGCTATAAAATGATATAATCAGAAAGGAGATAGTCTTAAGGGCAGAATGAAGGCACTGGGGAGGCTCTCTGTATAGGAGCCTTCTCAAGCTTCAACTCTAAGAAAGATGAAAGACCAAAAGGACTTGGTACGCTTATAGCTGCAAATTTGTGGTTCATTTACAAGGATTTTATCAATATATTCTAGGATATTAGAGTAGCAGGAAAAAATCTGAAAAATCACAGAAATAAAATAGATAGGGACAAAAGCGGGAAGAGAGATGACTGCATAAACTGAATGTTGAGGTCTCCACCTATTAGTTCTATTTAATTAATTTTAATTATTCTTATGCTTTTGGTTCTGGGCTTACAAATATTTATGAGGGACATTTTGATAAGTTGTGCTTTTTGGAAAGAAGAGGGTCTGCTGTGCTATGCAATAAAGTATTTTATTCCTGTTAATGGAGGACTCTGACAAAAAGGTCCTTGTTTTCTCATTAGCATACCTGCATATATCACTTTATGACAAGCATACTGTTTCTCCTAAAATTATTTTTTCTGATGTTACATATAAAGTAAATACAGATGATGTAAGTGGAGCAGAAAGTTAGTATTTTGGATTACTTATTATTGCTGTTCCCTTCTTCTAGAAAAGATTTAAGAGGTTTGTTTGTATGTGTGTTTGTTTTACTTTACCCCATTGCCAAAAGAGTGTCATGAGAGAGAAAAGGGACTGAGGCCGAATGCTTTATAATGGGTTTGTTAGTAATTTACCTTTGGCATAATTTTTGTAGTGAACAAATGTTTAAGGAGTATTAAATGAAATTTGTATTGTAATTCTGAAGCACTCATAGTGTTGCAGAATATTTAAATAACATAAAAGACTGAATGCAAATCATAATACGTCCTTAATAACCCGAGACCAATGAAGCACATTTGATTAAAAAAGAAAAGCTACCTTTCAACATGACAGCCAAACATATCAAATGATGCATCTCACTTGATATTTTAAAGATGCAATTTAAATTGTTCTAAAAAGCTGGCTTACCTTGTTATGAAGGTATGAAAGAATTACCTGTTCCGGTCTTTGTCAAAGGCAGATTGTCTTGTGAAATATCAAACCCTTGCATTTTTTTGGACTGGCTCCGTTAATACAAAGTTATACTATCCAAAGGTTTCATACAAGTAACAATTTTCATTTTTAAATACAGAAGGAAACAGGAGGAAGACTATCTGCTACCAGCAACACAGAGCTGCTGTCAATGTTTTTTTTTCACCTTTAGCTCATAAAAATAAATCTCTCTTGCTCTGTCTATAGATGCATTAGCAAAGAAGTGCAGTGTTGATGTTTACTATACCAAAGAATGAAAATTTACTCAAGAAACAGTATATGACAAAAATGCAAAACAGGACAATGCAAGGGGAAGAAATTAATGCAATATTTTATTTTTAACTGACCTGATTGGGTGAGAAAATGCATATTTTTAAGTGGTCTAATCAGCTGGACCACATTTGTAGCAGAAGTCATCAGCCCACATGAGCTGTTATGTTTTGTCAGAATGCTGTTGAAATCAACAGCTTAAAATTAAACAAAATGAAAGTTTGTGTTTTTGAAAGTAAGAATATGATTTATTATTCATAAAAACATAAAATTAATTTTTAGAATTGCAAAAGTGGCACAGCAGTATGGAGGCAGGAGGGGACGGGCTTTATAGAAATCTTGAGTTCAACAGCACATTGCTTCCTTCTTGTGAGAAGCGATGGCCTACATTGCGCTGCCAACACTGCTGTCTCATGTCATTAAATCTGATGACACAATCCAGTGCCTGGCCCTGCTGCACACTTTTTTGTAACCCCGAGGAAAATATTTACATTTCTTTTGCTTCAGTTCCTGACTGTAAAAAAGGGAAAATTAAGTCTTCCTTTTTCCCTACCTGAATCTCCTTTATTTGTGTGACTCTGGGGCAGAGAGCCATGCCTGATTATGAAGGATGTTAAAGATGGTGTAATTACTAGCTACAGATATTTCCCAACTGCACAGAAGTACCTGGGGGGTTGTTTTGTACTTCTCCAGGGGAGCACGGAAGAAGGGAGTGCCTACTTACGCAAGCAGGGGGTCTTGCCTAAGGAGTTTCCCTAAGGGGTAGAGGAGGACGAGTTCCCTGCTCAGGATGGTTTCTGGATCCTACTCCGCGCAGGTGGAGACGGTAAGGGTACTGAAGCAGTGAGCCTGAGAAGGTCGACAGCTGATTTGTCAACTTTGCTGCAAACCTCCTAAGCAAGCTCCTCTGGCAAACTTCATAGGAGGTGACTAGATTCTGACATCTCAAAATTATTGCTGCATAATTTGAAACACACCTGTTCATCACTCACATTTAGCCTTGTGTAACGCATCTTATTAACACCTTCTGGTAAACCTCACTGGAAGTATTCTGGAATAGCTAGTTGTTAGGATGGGACAGAACAGAGTTGCCCAACATGATTCACACACAGGATTTCTGCACCCAAGTGATAAACCTCACATTAGATTTAAAAATTAGGTGTATGTCTTAGACCACAGTGGGCAATTAAAAACCGAAAGGATTTTTGTGGGTAGCTTGTATTGAAACAGAAGCAATCTTAGCTTATTTTGGCTGATGCTGATAACTCTTGGTAGTCTGTTTTTGTTATCCAGTATAATCAAAATACTGCCAAATTGGGGGCAGCGGCAATGCTATATAGTAATGCAAATAATGCAGCTCAGGCCTGACCTCAGCGGCTTCAGAAAGGCAAGGTAGAGGTGGAAAATTCAACTTCACCGGTAAAGAGAAAATAGTTACTTTGAAGGCTGCCAGAAAATTAAAGATCCTCAATAGTGCAACATAGTTTTGATAAAGAAGATGCCTGTTTCAGGTATAGAGAAAGAGTCCCAGCTCACCCAGTGTTCAGCAGAGCTGAATAGAGCCCATCAATGAGTTCTTCCCCAGGAAAAAGGCAACAATTAAATATTTTGCTGTACATTAAGCTGTCCTGCTTGACACACGGTGAACTTTGATGGTAGAGTTTCTCAAGGTCTACTGTACAACTCGGTACGCAGTCCCAGCTCCTAAGCAGTCTTTTGGATGTGCTGCTAAAATGTTGTTTAAATGTATTCTTCAGGAAGGAAAGACATGTCAGGCAGTGCCATTCAAACTCTGATTATTTTTATATTTAAAATTATTCCTCAGACTCCTGACATAGAAGCAATCAGATGCTTCTGAAAGCACACAAGTGTCCTTTTCCTGAACAAGTAAGTAGGCACTGTTAAAGAATTTGGCTGTCTATGCTCCTTTTTTCTTTTCTTCTTCCCCCCCTTTTTTTATTTTTTCTTTTTTTCTTTCTTCTTTCTTTTTTTCATCTTCCTTCCTTCTTTCCTTTTTTTTTCTCCCCCCCCCCCCCCTTTTTTTTTTTTTTTTGCTTCTTTTTGGATGCTCCTCCTAAAATAATTAATTGTATTTCAAAGGGGAATTAGCTAGGACTTTTTTTTCCTATTTTATTATTTTCCCCCTTGACTCTGAAATCTAATTGCACTACATGTCTGTGTTACTGGTAAAATACATGTTAGCTGTCATTGTAACTGGAATTCACAGAAGTGTAACTCCCTGTATGGATAAAAGCTGAAAACACTAATTTGGAAATAGAGCTTTTGTAGTGGGCTGGGCAAATTTTTCATAATCTATTGAAGGAGCCTTGTTAATAGTTTGCTGCTGACTGAAGAAGTGTCCTCTTCCAGATGGTGAGGGTTGCCACAACGGACAACCGCAGCATTCCTCGCCGAGCCTTAGCAAAGCGCCAGGGCTTGCCACGTGCTCGGCTGCACGGTTCCACAGCCGCAGAACACAGACCTGGCGAGGGAGGAAGAGTTTAAGGAAATATTTTTCAGCATAATGGGACGTATTCTTAGCAGCAGCCCAAGGTAATCAATATAAATCCTATTTTTATTTCATGTTAGGTCAAAGCATGAGTTCTAGTAGACTGAGAACCTAAAGTGCGTGTTATCAAATGATTTTTTAAAAAATTACTAGTTGGTGATTAATTATTAAATTTTAAGACGTGTTTGCCTTTATGCTCAGACTCCATTAGCATTTTAATTTGGACCAGGAGTGCGCTTTTGAAGGGAATCTCTCACTCCATTTTCCCCACTTACCACACTTTGTTTTACATGACAGAGTGGTGTCAGGACACATCAGCTGGATTCATTTTGGTTAAAACTAAACCGAGAGGTGTGCTCTAGAAGTGTACCTAATGTACTGCAGATGCCAGTGGGTGCCCAGTCCATGGGATCAGGTTGGAGTCAGCCTAAAGTAGACTCCCAAGGCAAGTATACTGTTCCACTGTGCAGAGCTATTTCTGATGTGCTGTGCTGTGCTACGTGCTAATGGAGATGTAGGCACATGAAACTGCAATTTAGGAGAAAAACTTGTATCATCTTTCTTACAAGTGCAGGGCTACACCCCCCCAGAATTTCAGATTTGATACCTCTGTTCTTTGGAGAAGTCTGGCTGTAGTGCTGAGCTGGTGGGAGTAACTGTAGTCAGCCAAATAGCCGGGTATTGCCATGAAATTTGGATTAGGCTCTTATTTTCAGTACTTAAACTCACTTGCTTTAAGGGGCGTGATACCATGCAAAGGTGTTTTGGGTATTTTTTACTTTTTTCTGGTTTTTTTTGTTTGTTTGGTTTGGTGTCCCTCCCCCCCCCCCCCCCCCACCCCCCAGAATCCACCATTAGATTGTATACTCACACGTTTCCATTTTCCCCAGATATTATTGTGACTTCTTCAGCTCCCATGCAGCCTCTGTGTACGTGACCTAGATGCTTTTTCCAGAGAAACTCAACTTTTGAAATGTTCCCAGAAATTTCTGTATCAATATAGTTCAAGTATGTGTTGCCTGGTTTGAAAGTTCTTCTGCCAAAAGAAAAGCACAGAAGTGATGCTCTGTGTTCTTTCCAAATGAGGAAAAAAAAAAGCTACAGTTTATGCAGAAAGGGAGATGAGTTATGGGATGCTATGAGAGTTGAAGCTTTGAATACTATCATTATAATTTTATAACTTTTTTTTCAAGAATTACCAATCAGGGATGTTAGGCAAAATTTTAGCTTAGAACACGTTCTTGGAGAATATGTTCCTTGGGGAACGCACAGGGCTCTTGATACAGAGCTTGACACAGATCTGAAGCTTTCAGCTCAGCCAGTAGGGGATCGTGTCTCAGGTCCAGAAACACCAAGTTCTGTCCTCTCTGCTGACTAGTTATTCAAGCCGTGTAGCAAAGTCTTTTATAATGTCCTTGGACCTTAGATTTTTCATACATAACATATACCAAATACTTTTTTGGACAAACATTGTAATAGAGCTAAACTCAAGGGAAGATTAAAAAAAAACCACAAATATATATATATATAAATAAAATGCACTTTTCATTTAACCTTTTTTGTAAGGATTAGGAAGGAATGTCTCGTTGACATTTTGGTTGATTTCTTCCTCCAAATCAATATTGCAATTTTTTGCCTTCCCTGAAGCTATTGTGGCGGTGCTGAGGCTACCTCATCTCTCCCAACATGATTTATCCTGAGTACCTGGAGGAAGTTCTGAGGACTAAATGTCACTTTTTTCCCCCTTTGGCTGAAGTCTGTGGTGCAGATACCAGCTAGGCAAATTGGTGAAGGCCACA